TATCATAAATATATATAAAAAATTTAAAAATTATTATTATTTTCAAATTTTTAATTAAATAATTAATAAATTAAAAATTAATATTTGTTATTTTAATATAAATATATAATAAAAAATAAATTTAATAATTATTACACTCCTAACCTCAACTCTAGAAATGACTAAAATCCTTTCTCTAAATTTTATTTGGTTACAAAATACAAACCATCTATCAACAGTATCCGGTCAACCCTTTTAAGGCAACGTGACGTGGCCAAATAGCTGGGCAGGTGTTGATGGGCGAGTGCAAGGGGCGATTATTCCTGGCAGTGCTCTTTTTTTAAACAGCTATCAACTTGCTTTTAATTAAATAAATTACATATTTTTTTTATTTTTATAGCATAATAAAGGTAATTATTGTTCATTTCTTATCATATTTCACTAATATGTCATGTGATTCGAATTTAAAATCTCTTATTTTCAACGAAAAAAAATAATCACTAAATTATTTAAATTATTGATAACAAATTACATATTTTAAATTATAACAACACTAGTTACTAATTATTATATATCAACTATAATTACGTATGAACAATTAATTCAAACAACCCCAAACCTTAACAATGAGAGACAGGAACGAAAGTACAGGGTGAAGCAGTTAGGGATATATTAGTCTTTTTCACTAATTTGTTCAAGCAGGTCTCTAATCTTACGGTTATCTTTTTTTTTTTAATCAAATTAACATTAGTTTCAATAGTTTCTATGTCAGCAAATCAATTTAAATTTTAAATAAAAATGGATTTTTTGAAATTTAACGGTGCCACATAAGCACATAATTAACAGAAGGATAAAATTAATATTGAAAAATTAAGTTCAAGGATATTTTTGGTATAAAATTAAAAATTGAGAGAATATATTGGTATTTTAACCGTCGAGAAGAGAGAGTGATTTGTGTCATGCGAGGTCTATTTTGCTAGAGTTCCTTGTATCTTGCATTATACTTTTGTAACGCAATTTTACCTTTAAATTATATTAGATTGTAAAATTATAATTATTATTTTTT